ACTATATAAATATATTTTTATATAACATTGATTTAATATGAAAACAAGCTGAACATTAATGAGATACAGAATCTGTTGTTATTTTGTCAAACATTATACTTACTGACAACCACAGAGAATTCTTTTAAAATTATGATTAATCACTATCTGGTTTGTTTCTTTGTTTTTAATTCTTTAGCTGAAAATGCTAGTTTCTGTCTGTATGTCATTCTTAAAGCAACTTTTATTAGTTCTGGAAAACCCTTTCTCATGATTTCTTTGTTTAACTAAGTTACAGGGAAAATATGGGATTAAGATCTAAGTACAAACTTCAGTTTTCCTTCTTTTTCTTGTGTTTTCTACTATCTGTTAAAAATGAAGGTTCTGTTCCATAAAGACATTGACAGACTGAGTAACCTGTAGTTGACAAGTTGATTCTCCTTGGAATGTTCAACCTGAGAGTTGGCAGTGTCAGCAAGAACTGGAATGTAGCGGTCATCTGGTCACATGGTATTGGCAAAAAGAATAGCAATAATCTGCTTCTTTTGTTTGTGTGTGTTAATATATGTATGCACTGAGAGAAACCTGATGATTACCAACACTTAATTCATAGATGCAAACCAAATCCAAACAGTTGGCATCTGATAGATTTTGACATTATATGAAAGAATGAAATCCAGGATATATTCATCATCCGTGCAATATGGGGAGTTGAGTGATGAATTGACCATAGGTTAAACAAGTCAAGTCTTTGCTTACATAACACACTCATTTTCTAGAAAATTGAAAATCTTTTTTTTTTTTTTTTTGTTTTTCTTAAAATGAGAACAATGGCAATCCAAAGATACAATATTTGATGAACACAGCAGATGAATGAAAACTTCTTGGCAATAATGTAACAAGAGTAACTTTTTTTTTCCATCAATCACTGTTTTCATGTAATCTAATATTGCCAGCAATGTTAGTAGGAATACTAGTTCAAGTCAATCTTTTGTGAAAAGAGCTTGTAGTAAAGGACTCTCTTCCAATTTCATTATATATACAACATCATTTTTTAGGTAAAGACTAGGCTTTGAGATATGGTTAGTTGTGATTCATTTTACTTGTCTCACAATCTAAATATCTCCAATCTAATGACTTAATATAGTCATATGTGTATTTTCAGTGAAAGAAGAAACCTGAATAAAAAGGTAGCACTGTTAGTCGCTACATAACAATCAAGAAACTACATGAATTAACAACTAAGAAATTTGGGTTCTGCAGCCAGAATTTGTTCAAAAATTGTTTTCTTCTAAAACAACTTTTTCAAAGCTAAAGAATTAAAATGTAAAAAAAATTCAAGTTTAAATTAATCATAATCTTTTGGGAATTTTTTTTAACCAAACAATTTTTTCTTTTTCAAAAAAAGATGGAGATTAATTTAAAAAGGCTTTGGGGCAAGTTGTGCCAAGATAGAAATAAACTTTGTAGATTAATTTTGGAAATGGATTTTTTTCTCTCTTTTCCAACCTGTAACTCATAAGTTTTGCTTTAAACTTTCAGATGAAATTGGATTAAACAATTTTTTGTTGTTGCTGTTTACAATAAATCAACTTTAAGAAGTTTTTTCCAAGAAAAAAATATAATAAAAGTAATAAACATGATAATGGCTATTAACAAAAATGTTAGCTTTAATACCAGAGAAGTGAAAACTTTTCCTGAAGAAAAAGTTTTAATCAATTTGTATTATATCTGCAGGTTTTGAAAGAACAAAAAAAAATGCTCTCAACAAAAATTTCATCTAATTAAATATAGATTCTAAAATTTTACAAGCATATCAACACTTGAAAAAGTCATGGTAACAAAGAGATTAGTGTTGGTATTTCTAGAAGGAAATTAAAAATTCTTTATATTTGTTTGTAAAGATTTAAACTCATCTGAAAAAAAAAAAAAAAATTCTCAAAATCTTTCTGTCATTTAAAATGAGAAGAAACAGGTTCACAGTAGGATTAATCTCTCATTTGGAAGTTAATTAAAAATATCAAAAAATATTTTCTTTTTGTCATTTTAATAAATAAATCGGAAGAAACTTTGAAAAAAGTTCTTTGATGAAAACGAAAATAAACTAATGCAAATGAACTTATAACAAAAATGCAAATTTAGAGAGTAAAAGACAAAATAACAACAGTCTTTTACCTTGGAAAATGAGTCCAGAAAGATCCAAACCTACCCAGCAAAATCTACTCCAAACATAAGAGTTTTTCTCCCTTTTTTTCATACTTGGTCATTCAGAAAACTTCTCTGCAGCCAACTTTCTTATATAAATACACACATATATCAAAGACAAAGAGTGCAAACTGAAATAACCCCTCCTCTTCCAAAGTCATCTAGTGACATAAACTGGATAATGGAAAACTAAGAAAGATAAATAAGTACATTTCGATAGAATATCTGAAGCAAACAGCTTTGATGAAAAACAACTGTAAAATCCATGAACTGCAGACTAAAAAGTCATCAGTACACCTTACCCAATCATTCCTGCTCAGTTAGAAATTAAAAACAAAAAAAAAATACTTCTAGATGACATGCAGTAAAGTAAAAACTACATTTAGTGAATCAATTTCATAGTAAGAGCTTAACTTTGTGTTGGTTCTGGAGACTACAGAAGTTTCTGTTGACTGTTAAAAACTGTATATAATCTATCATAACAAATTCTTAGGCCCTTGTATAGCAAATTTAGAAATGAGCTGCATACCACCAAAAACCACTTCTATACAGTTTTCAGTATCAAACTCAAACCTCTAAGGAAGCAAGAACCAAAGAAACTGGGACTAGATTGCAAAAGCAATTGATCAGTTGAAGATTGATCAAAATTGATACATATTATGACATCCTACTGGGAAGCTTGAAAAACAAGGGCCCTATTCTATATACAAAGTTTCATTAGCTCTTTGTTTGCTGCTGAGAACAGGATAAATTTCTTCAGAAGATGCAGTTAATGTAAACCTTTAAAAAACAAAAAGTAATAAGTTGCAGTGAACAAAATGCATTGCAGATCAAATGTCTAGAATAGAAAAATTATCATGTGGCAAAGGTTTTAATCTTCACTCTCTATGTGTCAGTGAGCAGTACAAAAAATACAAAACTCCTTAAAGAAAACATTCAGTTCTTATAATATCAATTACTCTCAGTAACCAGCACAAATCAGTGGCAGTATTACAGGTTATCTCTGTTTTTGACGGAACAAAAGGACTATTACTAAAGAGAAGATAACTGTCATGTCAAAGTTTTAGTTAATATTAACTTCACCCTATTTCTCAAAACAGGCAAGCCACTATGGAAAGTCGTGCTGCTCTTGTATTGGCCTCATCAACAATCAGACACCAAATGTGGAATATCTGAAATTTTTGTTCCTAGGCAAAGCCAAAAAATGTATACAGACGTTATGTAAAGACATTAATTTTATTTTTCATTGTACTGTTTCTTCCTCTGTTTTCCCTGCAATACCCACTTGTCTGTGTGTCTAATCAAATTCAATCAGTACCACACTCACTTTGATTTAAGATAATCTAAGCTGGCAACAATTACTATCAATAAATAAAAAACAAGGTACAAATTATTTACAGTGATTTGTCTCATCTGATTAAAAATAAACAACTCCTTTAACACTGGAAAGATATGCAATAACATATTCAAAACACACTAATATATCTCAGACAATGACCATTGACATTGTACTGTTTGATAATAGCCTGTGCATTTCTCTATTTTTATAGACACATTAAAAGGTCTATAATTGAATTTCCCTGATGAGGAAATGAATCTTAGTCTCTGCAAGATGGATAGGAATACTCACTATTAGACAGCTTATAAAATGACCACATAATTTGTTGTTATAAAAAATAAACTCACTGCTGAGCAATGATTAGCAATCTTTTATGGAGTTAGAAAAGCCAGAGTTCTCTTTGGTTAATTAGCTATAAAATGTTAGTTTAGACTGAATTTACTTTGTTATTCTGAACCATAAATGTTTCTCATAAAAGTGCATTAAATCTAACATTTTTTTACTGAATGTAGGATCCAGATATTAAAACTCAAACAAAACACAGTAATTATTATCATAAAGCCTAAATATTCTACAAGAGAAAATGTAATGGAAAAAAAGTTGCTAATAATGAAATTTGCAGCTGTCAATTTTGTTTCATTCACTTTGCAGAATAAGAACAACTTTTAAAAGAGAAAAAATTAAAAATCTCATGTCTCTCAATAGGAAGCTTTAATCTAATTTACACATAAGCTGTCAAGTAAGTTTTGAATTTTAAAAATTCGGGAGGTACAAGATGTGTTATACCAATAACTACTTTTATTATACACAAAGAATTAATTTGATAGCTAAATATACCAATGATTTAAAATAACTTTTTGTATGATGAGGGTCCTTTTTGAGAATTTTGTACAATGATCTGATTTGCTATATAAAGTCTGCTAAAAATATCTCCAATTTATCTGGGTGAAATTAAATAAGAGGAACATTTATTAATTTGTATTTTTGTGTAACTTTACCCAAAGAAAAAAATCTCTTCAAATTCCACACTTCATCCACAAACTCCCACTTATAAAAGCAAAAATATGTCCATCAGTCTGCTTTATTATGCTGTGAAATATTAAAGGAATAAAATAAGTTAATAAAATATTTGTAATATCTAATAACAGTTCCTAATATTCTGTATAAAGACCTCAATCTATAAATCTGTGTTACACTTTGATTAAGCAAGAGTTTGCAGGAAGCTTTTATGCAAAATGTCAATTTCTAGCCTAGGCATCAAAAGACTTGGTGATTGTCATCAAGTATCAACAAAATAATCAAAACATTTTTATGCAACTGTTATTGAACACACCTCAAGATGAACACTTGGGCAAATGACACTTTGAAGAAAATCAAGGTTCATAAAGTTACCAGGTTTAATGCAAATAATATTTGAATGCATGAAACAATTTCAAGTTCGACCTTTGAGGCATCTAAGAGAATTTGTTTATTTTACCTCGCATCCTCATTTCTGAAGCAGCATCTCTCCAGGCAACATCAGGTTTATAGGAGGTGAGGGCTGACTTTCGATACACAACTTCAATCTCTGGTGGGCACTCCTGAAAAAATTTGAAAAAGAGAGGAAAATGATATATTGTAGTGATGATGATAATCTTAGAATTGCTATTAATCATCATCACACTGCTAGTAATAAATAGCAGTATTAAACTGAAAAGAAAGAAATGCAATGATTGAATTGTAGTAGTAATAGTAGTAGGTAGTGTTAGACAAACCATTTTGGGGTGCTAACTTCTGCTATTCAATTTAGAGAATTTGTAAAGGAGACTAACATAAGTTTCATTTTCACATATAGAATGAATTTCTGTTGAATCAGAAAATCTGTGAAGTAAACTTCTAAGTAAACTTCTGCAAGCAAAACAAAGGCTTCCATTTAAAGTTCTATTAAGATTACTGAATATAACATATATTTGATATGATCTGAGAATATAACAAGGAGAAATAATTCTAGATATTAGGATAAAGCCAATATTGCATTAAAAAACTGCAATAAAGCTGTTTTATGGAGCATAATACTATTTTTTTTAAATCATTTCACCCCAAGCAAGGCAATAAAACCACCAGGATGAAACTACTATTAAGAAGAGAGGACAATAAAAGAACAAGAATTAAGAAGACAGAAGATAATAATTGATAGTGCTTCATGATGTATTATACTGCAGGCTTACTTATGGCACAACAGAGAGCCAGAACTGGAGGTCTATTGAAAAATGTTTGATTTTCAGAAACTTTAAAAGAAAATTAAGTTTCTACTTGCCCCAAAGTGTTTTCAGAAAAAAATCATATAATGCATTTCTCACTCAGTCTGGAATAAATGTAGATAAGAATGATACTGCCATCTTCATAAAGAAGGTTTTCACATAGGGGAAAATTTTAAATATTAAGAACCTTCAAATTGATAAACTATGCAATGAATCTCTCCAACTTGCAAATCAGATCCCCAAATGACAGCTGATTTGATTTTATCATTAATTTTGGTCAAATGGCTCAATATAGCTAGCAGTCAAGGTAATCATATAAAACAATTATCCAAACACACTGCTACTACCATACAGCATACTTGCAATGGAATTGTCAGTCTATGTCAACACCTTTAAGCTACAAGCCATAAATTTGTGCTACTTGGACAATTTACAACTGATCCATTAGAAAAAGAATTTAGTAAACTCTGTCAAGACCTTATGGGCTTTGGAGCAATGGAAATTTCATTTAAATCTGAAAGTTTAACTGATCTTTCAAATTCAAAACTATATAACTGATTACTGGTTAAGACGTGCCCATTTTGCAACTCGTTTTATGCTATTATCATCAAAGATTAGTTCTCCTGTCTTTTCTTTGAGCCACAAATTGTGAATATTTATCAGATGAACATAATCAAAAAGCAAATGTTTATTATCTTCAGTTAACTAAGGTTTTTCAGGGATTGTGGGATAAAATTTAAAAAAAGCTCCATTTACTTGGTTGCCATCACATATAATAGCCTTTACACCAACAGGTACAGAGGTGATGGGCTGAATTGTTAACTCAATTTGTTCAAATAAAAAGGCTGAATTTTGAAATTAGAATCAATCTTGGAAGAAATTTTGAACCCCCTTTAAGACATATCAACATTATACCAAGTACTGTTACAGCAAGTAGAGATGGATTATTAACTGACTTACCAAATAGTTGTTTGCCATGATATAATATTTTCTTGATATATATACTTCACCATGGAGAATTATGCACCCTTTTTGACTTGCATTAAAGAGTATTAAATACAGATAGCAAAAAAATTTTTTCATTAAGTTTTAAAACTTTTGATGCCATCCTTTTTAATGTTGCTAATGATAGGAATTGAAAATCCTGTCTTAATCTATTATACAATAACTATGATGTTGCATAGTACTCCTTGTGATCAAAAGCCGCAGAATTTAATTATCGGATAATCTCTTCTAATGTTGATCAAGTATCAACTGTATTTATACAGTTTTGGACAGGCTGCTAATTTAACATTTAACTCCATAATGAAAGGTTTCAAACTGCAAATTTTTATAAATTCTCAACATAAAGAGAGGGATACCATTGATAACTTTTGATGACTGAACAATTAAAATATTTTCAGCCAAAAATGCTACAACTGGATACACAAAGTCTTTTCTGTTGTTGATTAGACTTTCTTTCAAATCTGTATAATTGATATTACCTAATTCTAAAAAAGCATTCATTTCATTATCAATTTGATTTCGAGCAGTACTGAAGGATATTTTGATATCCCTTTGAACAGCAGAGGGTGTTGGTATTTAACACACTTAGCCATACAGATGGTGGATTTTTGGGGTGCATTTTTCAATGAACTTCTATGGTATTAAAATTTGAAGGCCAAAGTAGTTGACAAATAACTGTATAGTTAGTAACATTCAAATTGGTATTTAGAAATGATTTTCTCCATTGCTCGCTCTCATTTTTTGTTTTTTGGAAAATGATAAACTGATATTTTATTCATCTCACACAGTTTTGTCTTGCTAGCTTTTGAAATTTGTTTTGCAAGCAATGACAACACTTCTGGGACATTGCTGGAAACTAGGTAATATTTGAAATGATAGATTAAGCTTCTTAAGTACAATTATTTCTTTTACTTCTTCAATTTAGGGGGGGGGTAACTTTTCAATCCAAATTAATTATACTTTTGATCCCAACTTTTAACTCCCCCTATAACAATAAAATAAAAACAGAAATTTTAGAGGATTGCCTTAAACCTCTGAATCTGCTTTTTAAAATTATTTATTTATTCTTTTGGTATATTGGTTTTGGGATATATTGTTAACAAAGGTTTGTAAATATTACATAATCTTTTAATTAATTATTGAGTTAATTAGGTATCTAAATTTCTGACATTTGTCAAAAAAACATCAGCTATTGCCTGACTCTCTTTCAGAGTGCTGCTCTTCTCATCTCCAATTTAAAGGGGAGGTCTGGAGTTTTTGCCCGGTGCCCGAGGGGAGAAAGCTTTGGCTGTTTTTGAGACAATGCCTTGAGGTGGGACAATCTACCAGAGTGCACTTAAATCTCAGCCTTCTTGTGTCGAAAATCAGTTTCAAGTTTAACTTGAGTAAATAAATACTTTAAGAAGCTGGAAAAATGACTGAGCTGCAAGCAGCAGCATGATTAATGTTTCACTCACCGCATTTTTAGAATATCGAATTAAATTTTATTATATGACTTTAAATTTATGTAAAAACATTCTTAAATCGCTTTTTCATTAATTTTGTAATAAGAATATTACATTTGGTTCTATTTTTTTACTCTTTAATGGAAAATTTAAAATGTTAAACTAAACATTAATTAGTATTTGTCTATTTTACCTAAAAGAAAAACACAACTAATAAAAAAAAATTCTACAAATGCATTTGTTCTTTATGAATAACAAAAATATTAGAGAAAAATATTAAAGTAATTTATTTTTAATAAATTTCAAAGTATAAAAACAAGTGTAAAAAAACGTCTTCAAAGAGATGTACAATAACAAAAAGGAAATGTGGTAAAAAAGACTCATAAATTTTAACTTTTAGAAACAAAAAAGGGTTCAGAAAATCTAAACCACATGGAAGAAATGAAGCGCATTTGCTTTTTTTTTTTTTTTCTTGAGAAGAACCTTAATAAACTTTAAGGGAAAAATGTTAAACTTAAAGGGGAAAATAATAAGCCCTAATTTAAAAATGTTAAAAGAAGCTTAAAATTCTAAGTAAGAAGACCAAGATTCCTACATCGTTTTTGCATAGTGAATTACATACCCAAAAGTTTGTTTTTACAATCTACATAAAAAATAATATAGCAACTCAAAATAAAATAAATAAATCTTATACTTACTTCAATTAAATAAGGCAAATGACATTCCAAATATAAGGAAAGATTTCTTTGAATTTTTTAAGCCAACAACATTGGTGGAGTAGCTTAGTTCAAACTTAAACTGAAACTAAAATGTCCTGCTGCTCTCATTTGATGAAGGAAAATTTAAAACTGGCCTCCAGTTCTCTTCCATCTCTACTTTATAATCTAATATAAAACTCCATGTAGTGTACCTAAATGTTTTAAATCAAAGTTGACAAGGAAGCAAGAAGCCAGAAGAGAGTTCAACAAGTGAGAAGTAGGATAAAAGAAATTGTTAGTATTAGTATATAATTTATGTTACATCTAGCCATTTCAACTTTAAAATGATGCAGCCTTGCTGCCAATCTAGCATTGTGTTTAAATTCATGAAGTCTATATACCACAGCAGAAAGTTCATCAGAGCAATTACCATGAATATATATATATATACAGAAAAGTCACATGGAAACTCTGGGAAAGGGACTGAAACCAAAATGCCAGGTCAGGACAAATAACATTACAAATTCTTCTCAGATTATAAATATTTCTGTCAAAAAAAAAAAATTTGTCAAGCATGAGACAGTGAATCAATTTTCTTAGCTACAGACTTTCTACTTTATGTCGGATGAAAATGTTTATACAAGAAGGTACAATGTGTCGCTCTTCTGGAGGTTAGCATCAGCCATGCTGATGGAAGGTAAAAAGGACACTCTCAGATAATTAAAAGAGAACTGTTTCATTTTTGAGGATTTAAAAATAACAAGCCACCCTTTGACCCATTTAACAACAGATTGTAAGTCATTTTTGAGATCAGCTATCAATTTTACATTATCAAATTGATCATACTTATTATTAAGACAAGAGGAAATAGTTGTGTCATCAGCATAGATACTGAGTTGATAACGTCAGAAAGGTCATTTATGAAAATTAGAAACAACATAAGTCTAAGGATACATCTTTGGGGAAAAACTTTTATGCAAAAAGATCTAGATGATTGGCCATTCAAGACAACTTTCATTTCATCATTTAAGAAGAAAGACTGAATCACTTCAAAAATTTGTTCAGAAATACCATAATCTTTCAACTTGTAAAGACCAATATGTCAAGCCCTGTCAAATGCCTTGGAAATATGCAAAGCAACAGCCCAAGCTTCACCATTCTTATCTAAAGCTTGACAGACTCTTTCAGAAAT